TACAAAAAAAATTCAATCAAGGGTCTTGCCTCAGATATTTAATGATGGAAAAAATGAGGTTTCTCCTTTGTGTAGGCCTGGATTCTCATAAGCCAGAAAAATATGTCTAAAAATGTTCACCTCTGGGAAATAAAGAAGGCTTTTAAAACATTTTACACCCACATTTTACACAGCCTGTCTTCATTCTCCATAAATTGACCTCTGTAATAATCTCCAGAAAAATAAACAATAAAAACTTGAGCTGTATCTGAACACGGAGAATGAAATAAAAAATTACGGTTTCATTTTCAAAACTTTACCAAAACAAGGAATACATTTTGTGGAGTATTTCCGAGATAGCATATCACTAAAACAGAATCTCACCATCTTTTAAAGTTGCAAGAAGTGTTTTTCACCAGCTCTGTGCTATCAACGATTATGCTTTCTCAGGGATGTAATATTGAATAAACTGCCAAGCCAATTTCAATAAAAACACGTACCTACACACATATCAGTTTTTTTTTCCATTTAGAAGAGAGTTCAGATACATAGAGCTTTGAATGAAGATAACCAGAATGGATTGTTAAAAAAATATTTTTTTTAAGCAGGAGCACTGAAGTCATATCTTGCCAAGCAGCATATTGTGAAGGAATGCACTGAGACAGCATTAAGATAAGAGAAATGGAATCGTGTGGGTGTTAAATAGTTGTGGTATGGGAGTTTTTGTTTCTCATAACTCACTTTTTTGGAGGCATATTTTTTTCTAACAGGGTACTTGCCTGCAGGAAAATTATGTCATTCTTCAGTTAATATGCCTCATTACTCATGTGTTAATATGACTGAATAACATGTTTTAATTTCCACTAACACAGATTATTTTAGCATTGTTGGTAGATTCATATACACACAAACTGGTTCTTTTCTACATGATAAAGACAGCATATAATAAAATAGTATAATTTGCTAATAGTAAAATTGGAAAGAATGCATTTCTTCATTAGCAATCCTTTGGAGCTGTAAAAGCAAAAGTGGCAACATTTAATATTTAGCGCTATGCTGAATATCTAGGGTGATGAAGGGAAAATTGTTAGTTGTACATCTTTCTATAAGAACAGTGGCTGCTGCTGAATTCAATCTAGCGTGATCTAAGGGCATCTTGTCTCCACCCTGTCTCATAAAGTATTTTTTAGCAAGATAGACCTGCAAGCAGAAGTTGGCATGCCTGAAAATTGATTGCAATCTGGAGTTGATGTTGAGAAAGTGCAGTTGGGGGAGAGTCACACCAGTACTCCAGGAACATCCACATATTTCCAAAAGTACAGCAGTACAGGACACTCTCAAACATTGGGTAAGGCCCACCTCAGTGCACCTATGCCAGAGAAAACTGGGAGCAATCTTCACCTGAAACTAGAAACTGGTGTTGCAAATTATATGCGGATTAGCTGGTACACTATGATTTTAGAAGAGAATATTCCTCCATATTGCAACCTAATTTAGATGTGGTCTAGTTATATATTTCTATTTAATGGTAATTGAGAGGGAACTGAAAAAAATAAGGATTTAAAAGCTGTTATTTATATTATTGTATGGTTCTGTGTGGCTTTTAATGTACTTATGGACAATTCTACCTCTCAATGAAGCTAAAGAAGTATAGAATGTAATTATTACGCATTACACTTGTGTGAGACTCCATTACCAAGCTGTAGCCCTGTTCATAACCTACTGAATGATAAATTCACTCTCCTCCCCGGTGAATCTGTACTGTTCAAGCCGTTCAAACATACAGTAAGTAGATTAACCTTAATAATTGGATTATGTGCCACACTTGTTTTAACATTAAAACAGATGTTAATCACCAGTTTTCCCAAATATCCACAATTAGATATATATCCTTTGTTTCTTTTCTAATTTCTCACAAGCTAAATTGCGACTGCTTTAAATTTAACCCCCTAAGCATACAGTAGTTCCTCAATGGGATCTGTGACCTGAGACAGCGTCAGGCAGCACACATACAATAGACCGAATAAAAGCTTCTGCCTCCTGCCTCCACTGAGCACAGCTGATGTTTTCCAGTCCTGGCTCCTGAAATCCTTGTGCCAGATCTGTCTCTTCTGGCTTTTGCCTTGCAAAATCCCCGTCCACACCCTGTGAGGGAGAGTTGACACAGTTGATCTAGCAGGGTGGTTCCGCTCTCAGCAAAATTTATAAGAAGCACTTAATGGATGCTGGTTTTCACCATTAAGACTGAAAGAGCTCATTTTTTTTTCTCAGGAAGATTACAGTTCCCCAATTAGGTTTATATACTCCCAGACCTCCGGAGGAAAAAAAAGGCATGTTGTGATAATTCATCAGTGTCCTGCAGTTTGTGGTGTGTTTCTCAGAAAAAGAGGCCAGCCATGCCTGGAACTGTAATGAACTATAGAAGGAGAAGGATGCTTCTGTGAGAGATGCACTGTGAAACTAGCCGGTGTATCAGGATACCTCTCAAGGGCTGTAAGAAAATGAGGAAATAGAAATTATTTGCTAATTTTATAACACACTTTCTTCCTGTTATAGTCCATGAAAAAATAAAAACCTTATTTTTCTGATATGCAGTCTATATATTCAACCTTGGTCTTAAAGTATTAATTTGTCTGTCTGCAATCTAGTTTTGAAGCATAGCATCTTACTTTAGAAATAATATATTATAATGAAAACAGATTAATACACAACTCTAATTAATATTTTAGTTACTATATTTCAGACAAGTGTCTGTTGAAAAATGGTCAATTGAAAACCTCATTATTGTCCAGTTCACTTTAGTAGTGTTAATGGCATTGTGGTTGCATGTGAAGTATAAAGCTCCCATTTATTTACAAAAGCAGATGGCTGTCTGTGATGGTCTTTTACAAGAACTGATACACATTGATCGATAAAGAACGTTCACAATGGTTTCTCTTACTGCAGTAGTAATTTTGAAATCAAGACTTTTTTCCCCAAAAAACAGGAAGTCATCAAGTCTTATAATGACAATGTGGTATTTGACTCTTATTACACTGCCAAAACTAGTTGAGAAAAGAACTGTTTGGGACTGAGATTTTGTTTTTTCAAGAACTGAAAAAGAGTACTGTGGGTGTGGTTGGCCCCCATCTATTTAGGATTGTTTCTTAGTTAAATTCTGGTGATCTATGTGTGTTTTTCTTTTCGGACATGTTTAACTGCTTTGCCCATTCAGGCTCTGTGATGTGGTCCTGCCTGTAGCTCAGCATGATGACATGTAGCTGATGAACTACAGTACCAACCCTGCTGTTGCGTTTGATGGAATCAGAGTGGCGCAGAAGACGATGAGCAATGCTCACGGCGCAGAGACTGGTTCTCATACAAAGCGTTGTAGCAGTGAAGCTTTCACTAAACCAGAACAGTGTTACGAACGCACAGATGTCTTAGCTTTCAATGGGTTATACTTAAATCGAGGACATTGTTACCACGTGATTTACTATAGTAGTTTTCACGTGTATTTGTTATTCATACAAAAACAGCATGTTATATTTAAATTGCTCTTCGGAACAGCCGATTTTCAAAAGCCTACCGTAATCATTTCCTGCATTCTAAATTAATACCTGGATGACTAGCAACACATTTTGTATCGCGGTTGTTGTGGTTATTTTTAACACATTGTGGTAAACAAAAGGCTCCAACAAATCAAAACACATTGATTAAATATTGTTTTTACCTAGAAAATACTTGTAGTTCAAAAGTTGGACATGCTGTAGTTTCCAAGGACGAGAATGGATCTGATCTGAAGTGCAGTTTTGTCTCAAACTAAGCGTCTGCTTTTTACCGTAAGGTCAGCTGACAGATCAATGACTGTTATACCTTGCCATGGATGTCCTCCAGGGCATTTTGTAATGATGTGTTGATCTCCACTTTTAACAGCCCCTGCATTTCAGAACTGACCTTTAAATGACATTCGAAAACTCACCTTAATCTCTGTCTTTTTAATCAATACTAAACTACAGGAGACACACGTATTCAGAGACTAGTGAGTATTATTAAGTCTGGTTCAAGACTTTCAGAAATGAAAAAAAAAGCGAAAAGGTCTCGTCGTTGGTCTGTTCAACTCAAATTCTCAGAAAATGAATGGCTAAACACTGACTGCTCTCTTTATAGTTGACAGACTTCAAAATAACTGTTAAGTAGCTTAATAGCCGTAAGGACTATTAAAAGGTTCCGTGTGGTAAAGCGGGTCCAAAGCGTTTCAGCACCAAGGATAGTACTTTTGGCTTTATTGTCAACAGCTTTCTTTGTCTTTAATTCATTGAACCTGTCATGCAGGTCACTCAAGCTGGGTTTTGCAGATCTTTCTAAAGGACTATATTATGCATTGGCGTTTTAGACGTCCCGATAACGCTTAGGCCCTTGAAAAAACATACTCAAGGTTCTTTCTTTAATAAAAGTAGTTAAGAATCAATGGGTTTAAGGAAGGTGTATCTGATTTAGGTAGAAGAGTCTTATTATCTTAGCCCCACCTGCGCCTGCTTTAATGCAGTAAATCGTTGTAGCAATTCCGCATTAATGGACAGCAGGGAAACTACATCAATAAGCATTTCGGTAGCAGTGAAGCCTAAAACAGCATAGTCTGACAAGCAGTAAAGTATCTGACTTCAAGATAGATGGAACTATAATTAACCTTTGCATAAATGGAAACCTAAAGGTTATGATTATTAATTAATGCATTCTAGCCCCGTTTTCGTTTTTAACACGTGGTTTAATACAAAATATACATATTCCAAATTTTAGTCCATTCTACTTTTGCTCCCCAGTGAAAAAGAAAAAATAATTTCCAAAATCGTACAATATGCAAACGTTGGCAACAAATGTTTTACATGGAAACGTGGCGTGTTTATTTAAAGAGTTTGTCATGTGTACAGCGATCATAATGAAGAGGGCACATTAAAAGCACATTAAAACCCACGATCCAGGCACCATACATATTTAATTAGGAGAAGGAAAACGTTTGTCGCCTCCCTTTTATCTGGACAGTCTTCGGAGAAAGTACCAGATAAATCGCGTTGATTTTAATGCCTTGAAGAAGCCAGTTTACAACGTAAACAAACTTTATGGAAAATAAGCTAGAAAAGCAGAGCGTTTCGCTCAAACACGTTGTAAGTGACATTAGGTGAAATGTTCTTTAAAACTTGGCCGAAGGGAAGCTGCTGTCTTATCGCACTCAGAACTGCGTCGTTCATCATTATGATGTAAGAATCCAGATTCAACAGGGAGCTCCAGTATCAACACTGCAAACTGACCTGCAATTGCAAACCAGCTTTCCTCGAACTAGTCTGATGCACTTCTTTTCGGCACAGAAGCAGTGCGGTCCTCGGATGCAAACGACTTTCAAACTACTTTAATTTACATTTCTTAAAACATACATATAATACAATTATTTTCATATTCAAAGAAAGGGGGGGGAAACCGGTAGGAGCAGAGCAACCAATTCAAAGCGAAAACCAAAGAATGCTTCATCTCTCAAATGATATAACACCGTGTTTCACTTTCCTGACTCTGTTTGTCATTTATGCTTGCGGAGCACGCCAGATCTGTGGTGGTTTTCTCTGCCGAGACGACCAGCGATGCTGCACTCAAGGTAACAGTACCTCGGAGGTAAGATGCTGCAAGATGCCCTCTCACACGTTCTTTGACAACATTGGCTGGGTAACGAGGAAGTTGTCTGGGATACTGATCCTCTTGCTCCTCTTTGCCATGGGCTACTTCATCCAGAGGATTATTTGCCCCAGACCGCGGAGGCATCACGAAAGACAAGAGGATGATCCCTCGTTGCTGAACGGGCACACTACGGCGTCGCAGGATTCCCTGATAGACCGCTTCCCCGAGTACAGTATCGGGGAATTCACGTCTCCCGTCCTACAACTTCCGGCATACGACGAGGTAAAATACCTACCAACTTACGAAGAAACAATGCAAGTCGACAGAGACCGATCCGATGACCATTTACTAAATTCGGCAGAGTCGGTATCTGCAGGGCGAAGAGACGAGAGACCGGATGATACCCGTGTTACCAGGACTTCCTGGAACTCCGTTTAGCTGGACGTTGTGTATTAGCTGGACGTTGTGTTGCGATACGTGGAACATTAATTTTAAGCTTTTAAAACGAAATGAGCAATGCCACAATATATGCTAGTCTGCTGGAATAAATTGCTCCGCCAGCTCGGGTCAATACTATGCATTTTAAAGAAAGGCTGACAATCGTTTTTTTTTTATCGGTTTGCACATGCAAAGGGAAAAATAGTATTAAACTGTTAAACGAGCCCCAGCATAGGTTGGGGATTATCTTAATTTATAATTTAAATCAAGCCTTTACACGAAAGGGTGGTGTTATTAAGCCGCATACATGTCATGATTCATCAGAATTTCAGAAAGTTTCTCACGTGCTTCATATGTTGTGTTAACTGGCAGGTCTAACAAGCAACATGATTTCCTAACATGCATGTCAGAAATGAACTTCTTTTCTCCTAGCGTGTGCGAACCCTTTTGACAATTGACTGAAGTCGACCGTCTTGCTGTTTTGTGGCGTAGAGAGTCGTATGGCTGTATTTGAAAAGTGAGGGGAGGTTTCCGAGCGAATTTTTCTTAATCACGACGACCTTACGGAACCCGAACGAAGAAATCGTTTGAAAGGTGTTTCTTGTATTGGGGGTAACGTTTTGTAACATCACTATATATTGGCAACTAATTTTCAGTCACTTAACATACTCAGCAAATCTATGAATACTGCAGCCCCCCCTGAGAGCTCCGTGAAATTATTAGCCGATTGTGAACATTGTTTCTAAGACACTTAAGAGTTAATCTCAGGCAACAGAAGGGGGGTAGTATCCGTGAACACAATACATTGTTACAGGTACAGTACTACAACACCCAGCAATCTGCCTTATTTTGGAGTACGTCTACTGCATGTATCACCAGAAATGTGGTGACCTTAGTATGCTAAGAACAAGAATTGTTTCAGAGGAAATGAAACACGCAGGTGCCTTTTACATTTAGTTAACAGTTCGAATTTGGCAAAGCAACCTTACTTTTTTACGGTTTTGTCCACTCTGGTTGGGAGTGGCTTGCAACACACACCTTATAACTGAACCAAAGCGTACTGTATGTATGGGACAGGCAGGAAAAAGCAATTACAAGCAGCAAAAACGTACTGTACAACAAGTACACCAAGTCAGATTTCATATTTATTTCTAGAACGTGACGTATATTAAATTATTTTATGCTGGATATACTAAACATGCTATTATAATAAAATAATTGTATTTACTGTAACAGCCAAGAACAATGACAATAATATTTTGTGTATTAAACATTAGAACATGACTTTGATCAATGAGGAAGGCCATACCTTTGTTACCTTGGAAAATACATTTAAGAAAACTATTTCAATGAGTGGTCAATAATACTCATATCAGAATGCACATTTGTGCACAAATGAAGAAAATTAAGGGCCAAGTGACCAGTGTGCTATTATCAGATAGCTGTAACAAACATCAGGATCTTCCTGAACAACTCTCACACTGTATTATCTTATGTCTTAACACATAAAATCTAATTATAAAGTAAAAGGTAAATGTAACACAGGAAAAACTGAAAGCTACTAATATGCTTTCCTGAGAAAAGTGGAGTGAAACAAAATAACACTGTAGCTATATTATATGATAGTTCCAAACTCAAAATAAGACAAAGACTTCTTGTTTTTTTTCTCAAATTCTGTGATGTAGCATATTCTTTTGTGATGTAATGAGCTTTCTCTGACTTTTATCATTAATATTTAATCTGATCTACTGAATGGGTGCAAGCTTTTCCAGTTTGATTAACTGTAAACATCTGTTAGCTGGGGCTGATTAGTGGGTTCATTGAGGCCTGCTCCTCTTGTGTGTCCATGTCAAACACGTGTTCTTTCAAGACCTCTTCTCTCCCCAACAAATATGCAGATGACAAGAACACTAGTATTTCAGTTTAATTTAAATGTACGTATCTCTCTGTTATCTATTTCTAATATGCATGGGCTAAGCTAGAGGCAAAAACTTACAAAAATATTTGAAGATGAAATGGATCTTATCCCGTTATATGAGCAATCCTTAACACATATGTTTAACACCGTTTTTTGAGTCATCCTAAAGAAACACTTTATCCTTGTAAAATGTATTGGCCATCTAAAACGGCACTTGCTGAAATAGTACTTTGACAAAAAAAAAAGTACTAAAATATGCGCTGTCCACTTCACTTTTCCATTAGAAGCAGCTGTTTATTATCAAGTGTAAAAAAATGTAATTTATGTGTTCTTCAGAATGGCTTTTACTCTCTTTCATAATGCAGCTGAAACCTGAGCTTAATTTTTTGTGGTGGTCTATTGCAAATGCTCCCATTTGGAGAAATACGACGGAAGCTGTCTTGATAGACACCGTTCTAATGTAACACCAGCTAACCACTCTTCCTCCCCCCAACACTACTTTAAAACGTGTTTTTAATGCTTTTTTTGCTTCTAAACAGACACCAGTGACAAAGAACAACCCCAAAAGCATTGGTTTCATGTCAACATCAATAAAGCATCACACTCTCCTCAAAACCTAAAGCCTTCTGGTTTCTCAGGGACCCTTTTATGTCGATTCCCTCAACATGAAACTCCTAAATAATAAGCAAGATGGTTGAAAAAAGACCCGCAATGGAATGCAGTAGAGGGCATTGATCACTGGATTCCTATGACCTTGAAGATCAGCAAATGAGTTAAACGATCCGAACATAAGTATGAAGAGACTACTGTACTGCATGTTGCAATATTTAGGAATTTCAGAGAGGCACAAATTCCCACTTTATTCTCGGTCAACAGATCCCAAAAGGAAAAAAGGGAAGACTTCAGTTTCTCTTTATTAATTATTGATTTATTAATGCAATCAAACAATTTTATGGTTTATATCAAGGGGTCAATTGCTTTACATACACATTTTTCTGTATTAAGATATCAATAAGATAAATATTAAAAGAAGATGTTTATCATTATTTACACACCAGAAATATTCATATTATATAACATATATTACACAACAAATCGTACAGTGTTTTTTAAACTAAGTACACATGTGAGCACAAAGCAGCCTCTAAATCCCCACTGACAAGGAATGTCCAAGCATATCAAGGGTGAAGGATGAAGGGATTCAGTAGTCTACCGATGGGAGGACATGCTGCTTCTCACTGCAGAAGAGCTAGCTGCTTTTTCTCGTTCTTTGGCTATTTCCATATCAATTTTGGCTTGTATTTTTTCCCAATCAACCTCCACCTGCAGAAAATAAACAGCCATTTTCCCTCTTTAAATACATTTTATCTACTTATATGCATATACAATAATGTGAAATTTTAGTGTCAGGATCATGTTGGTTCAAGATGTAAGCATTCTTGGTTATTCTGTCTTGCTGATCACAAATTAAAGGCTAGCATGAGTTAAGGTAACATCAAAAGCAGCAGGATGTAGCTTGATAACCACTGGAAAGGACTGCATTTCTCATGCAATAACTATTAGTCAAATAACACACTACATATTACAGGATATTCTTCTTCTTGATCAAAAGTCTTTATTGAGTGGTTTTTCAGACCTTGTATTATCTCTAATTGTGGACTACCTGCTGTTAATTTAGGTATGCATGTCTAGAATTATTGCTACTTCGGTGCTATGAAATGTTGCCTATATGTTTATATTTTACAAATTCATCCTTCTCAAAATGAAAATACTTACTCCTTCTGAATACTGCAAAAATCTTTTGTTGGTTTCTTTTTTGGCAAAATCTTCCAAATATTTCTGCCTGTAAGCTAGAACAGTGTCAACATGTGTCTTATATTTTACAGCCAGTTCCAGAGCCCTGGGAAAGGAAACGATTTTTGAGTCAGAAGTACAAACACTTCGAAACACACACACAACACTTGTATGCCTCATTTTGTCTAGATAAAGGGTTTGTTTCACTTCCAGTCCACCTGCGCCGTTGGACGGAAATACATTTTGACCAGATACTATATAATTTATAACCTATTTCCTCCTCTTACAAATTTCCACTTGTGGGAACTCATCAGTGCTAATAAAAATAATGAAGTGGATGATCATAGCAACTGAACATGATCAATTATTTTAACTGGATTATTTCCAGGGCAGAGTGGAAGCCACAAATAACCCTTTATGCAAGCATAATAAAGGCCATAAGAGGGAGAATCTGAGCCAGTGGAAGGTACATACAGTACACGTTTTTAATAAACTAAATCTATATAAGAAATTTGTCACAAGTTGCTATTACGTACCTGTCCCAGTTGTACAGGTTGATATGAACCTGAATTGCTTGGTATATCAATCCAGCTTGAAGAAGAATCCCCTCTGCTTCTTGTACATTTCCACTGAAGAGCATCATGTAAGCCAATGAAGATTCTTTAGATGGCAGCTCTTTTATGGAATTGATATACTGGACTTTATCAATCTGATTAATTAAAAAAAATAGATTATGTGTAGTATCTGATGATTCTTGATCTTTTTTGTCATAAAATGCAGAGAATTCTGTGAAACTGTAAGAAGCAATCAAGTTTAAAACCTGCTTATTGCATTAGGATGAAGATTTCAGGTAAATATTGCAATCAAAATTCCAAAGGGATTTAGTGTTCATTGAAGAGAAAGTGAGGAAACCAGTTGTGTGAGTTTTTTTTTATTTGCTTATTAACATAAATGTATTCCACGTGGGACCTGCCAAAGGCTTTCTAGAAGATTTCATTCATCCCTTCCCTTCAAATATGGAGATTAATGTGAAATGTACTACCACAAAAAAAAACACATCATCTGCATTTTTTAAATTATTTTTTTAAACTAATTTTCTCCTGAAATGCCGAAGAACACAATTACTCAAACTCACTTTTTGTCACATCCTTGATATCCTCGGTATCATGTTTTAAGGAATTTCTTTATTCACGGTCCCAGAAAATGTTACTGCACCTAATAAAGCTTTGGTGCCGAATTCAGGGCCTTGGAAGCCCTGCATTCTTTATTGGTTTCCCACCACATGTTAAAAATGTTGTGTAATTAAAGCTCATAACCTAGTCTATTATCTTATTAGATGCCTGACATAATGTACAAATCAGACAGCTTTCCACAACCAGACAGGCAATGCTAGTGTTTATCACGACTATTCTAAAAATGTACTTCTTAAAACATTACAAAATAGTTATACTAAGCAAAGGTAGAAAAGAGCATATTGCACCCTTACCTCACCAATAGCTGCATATGCAATCTCTGCTGTAGTCAGCTCTTTACTTGCAATTGCCATTGCAGCAAGACAGGCCCATAATGTTTGATCCTGTTCAAGAAAAAGCAGCAAAACATAAAAACTTAAGAACGGACTATGTGTAATGCATTTGATAGTTAGATCCTTACCGATCCAGGGATCTCATCCAGGTATTTTTGAAGAAAACCAGGATACTGGCTTCAATAACATGCCTGAATAACCTGTTCCACACTCCCACATCCCTGTATGTGAAGAACTGCCTCCTGTTCTCAGTTTTAACTGCACTAGAAGGATGTCATATGTCAAAAACTCAGACTACTGTACATTGGATTTTAAAAACTCGCAAACACTCATAATGGAGATCATTGTGGGTGTCTGCATTGAGTCTAGGGCGGGATTAAATTTAATATGTTGCTTCCTTCAACATCTTGTTTTCTCAATGTGAAATCCATAGGACTTTGTTTGTGACCCAGTGGAAAGTTGGCATAGTGCCTCTGTTTGGCTTACATTCTGCCAAACACAACAATAACAGAGTATTTCTAAACAAAAATTAGCAACACAGACTATGGAAAAATAAAATCTGCAACAGGCTATACTTTTAATTTAAGTGTTGAAATATGTTTACAAAATTATACAAACATTTGTAAAATGTATCTATCAGAACATACATATTAATTGTCTTAAAAGTGCTATAATGTTTTCAACAGCGAGGACAAATCATAAGCCTGTACAATTGTCCTTCAGTAACTACTACTACATAAAATCTACTTACACTGCACATCCAAGCCATTAAGCAATGCCCAAGAAATAGAGATAAAGTTGACATTTTGGTCAAATAAACACTCCTAAAAACATTATTAAAGGGACAAGACCGTCATTACTCTGGCGTCTCTGTCAGATGGGGGTCTATTATTCCGTCTGCTTGTTGTAGTTTGAAATTATTAGTGTCTCACTTAAGGGCAGACAGTGCCCCAAATTAGAAGCAATGGTGCTCTAACATGCAAAAAACAGCTGGAGCATCTTGGAAACTTAATTCCTTATTCACAAAACAAATTATGATTGAAGAAGTGAGGGATATTTATGTTTAACAGTGATTTAATTAAGCACTGACTTTCACAAAAGACCAAAAAAAAAAAAGAAATCCTATGAATCCATAGTTTCCAAGCTATTAGCAAAACTACTGTATTTAAAAAGCAAACAAGTATCTATTTAGATGTTACCAGTACAGATAGTGTAAGCATGTAACCACCTCTGGCACACTGTAAAAAGTAACATTTTTCAGCATTTAGTCACAGTACAGTTGTTTACATTTTCCAGTAATCACTGACAGATTTTTGCAATAAAAATGTGACTCCTGAATGTTTGACAAAGCTGTAGCATGACACACTCTAGAACCAGCCTGGTCACTTTTGCATAGCCACTATTTTCACCCATCTGAAAAAGAATAAAAACACTTACCAGAAAAAGTGGGGTAGGGGGAGAGCATTTACAAAAACTGGTGACAGATGTAAATTTCATAACAACCTTTCACTGACTGGATACAAGGCGTCACCTTGAAAACTGAACTTTTCCAGCTCCATTTCAAATCCTAGTAAATGCTGTTAAGTGTTTAACCCCAATCTTAGCAACATCCAGAGTATGAAAGATGATTTGTCTTAGACTCATCTGTAGAACTGCTCTATTGAAATTACATTTTATCTAATTATATTCATATTATTGTGCACATTGGAAGAAACAAAGACTGAAGGCCTCTCTTCTTATCTCCAGAGGCAATGAGACGTCCAGTAAATTACATAAAGGAACTCATCTTAAGGGGACAATTCACAATACCCACACCAAAGACTTGTGTTTTGAAAGTAAATATGTAAAGAGGTACTAATTCTGGGAAATTCTGTAGTGTTAGAATATGAATAAAACCTGTCTAAATTTATACATTAAACACACAGCTCTGCAAACAAATTGAAATCAAGCTTACAGGTATACTGTAAAACTGTTGCTTTACTCCATAGCACAAACTGTAGGGAATTAATTGAATTTAAAGTCTCAGACCATTTAATTCTAAGAAGTAATGTTTACATTGAATAAGATATTTAACATCTATGTAAATAGTAGCTTTATTTAAAAAAAAAAACTGTGCACTGTACTGAATAACACTGAGATACTGAGTATATACCAACTGAGTATGTTGTGAACCATTATTTCCAGGCTAAAATAATTCCCTTTGCTATTAAATTGTCTGGACAGATATTTAGAAAAAGCTGGAATCATTGTTGTACATAATGACTCATGCATTTTTGCACTGAAGAATTTGGTATTGCTGGAGAAATAATGTAATAAATTGGAAGCTAGTAAAAATAAAACACAAACATACCGGAAATGTATTTAATGAGAGGAACCGAATGAGAGTTTCTACAGGGTAAGAATAACTCACCTCAGAAGGAAAAGCCTATGGCAGAGTGAAGTGGAAAAGAAAGGAGACTTAGTGATGTAAAGAATATTCAGGAAAAAGTATCATGAAATCACATTAAAATATTGTGAATTACATCTTACTCAAATATGGCAGGAAATTAACATAAGTTCTCAAATGTATATCCCCTGTGTGGATAAAACTGAGTATGTTTTTTTTAAACTGCTTTTTTATTAATTTTATTGTATTTGATATATTTATACGCCTTATGCCACTCTAGTATCCAACAAATTAATCTGCAAAGTTTTTGTGGTCAAGTTCAGCAACTATGTAATTCAGAGTTAAGTTACAGCTGTTTCTTTAGAAACTAAAAGACGTTTAGCTAGCAATGTGCAAGCAATTTACTTCCTAATTACACAATTAATTTAAAATCATTACCTACAAGTGGTCTGACTGATTTTTGTTAAATATATGGTGTGCTCTGCTAAATTCACTGAGCCTTAGTTTTGGTATTTGGAAAATGGTTCATAATTAATTTGCCTTTCATCTTTTCCCAGAAAGACTGCATTTATTTCTTTATTCACCTCATAGGTTCACCTTTAGATAATATATGTAAAAATTTCAAAAATAGTTTAATGTCCTTATTACAATTCCCTTTTTGATGATGAAGCAGGTCTTGAAAAAAATCTACAAGATGCAGGTATAAAAGTACTATATATATACTGTACTAAGGAAAGCAGATACAGTACCTGTAACAGTATAAAAACTATCTTTGCCACCACACTTACAAAGTTTCAGAACTTTACAGAATGACATACAGACTTGGGAAACTAAGAGGAATAAAAACATTAATGTTGTTGCAAACCTCATATATCAGCATTTATGTCACAATTACTAAAGGTATTTTAAGTGCATGAATGTTGTGTCACGGCACAGCAAAATGGGATGATGAAAGATAGACACATAACACTGTTCAGCAGTGCATGTACTATACATGCAAAAACCTGTACATGGATACGACAGGCTTTATAACCGAGAAGCACAATAAAATCAAACAAAAAAGATATTTGTCTTTTAGACTCTACAGATCCACACAAATAACTTTAGGTAATGTACAGTATTGTGTTTATCTTCCCTGAATTCTTCATACCTCAATATTTTTTCACTTCACCCCATACCTTGTGTGCATTTTATAACATTGTAAACATTACATTTCCTCCTTTTCTCACCAGACTAGTATAACACTATTTCAGCTCTGTATAAAAAAAATAAATATCCAAGCAAAGGTGGACTTAATGGGAGTTAATTCTGAATTTGAATTACCTTTGCAAAGCGACAGAGCCTGAGAGCATCATCCCAGCGCGAAGCAGTGACGTACTCATGGAGGATTGCAGGGTAAGGAGATACACAGCTGTACACCAAGGAGCCATCGGCTCTTCTGATTGCAACTTGATTGCCCACATAGTTTAAAACTTGTGGATTTCTGCTGAATTCACTGTACAGATGGAAGAACAAGTTCAAGAAGGTAATGATTAAACAATTACATTTTTAAAGAATTATTTAAACTGGGATTTACATAACCAATGTTATATTAGTAAGTAATGTAATAAAATATAGTTTAAGTCTATATTAACTATGTTAACTCCATATTTTTGATTTTGAGCAGGATTAACCAAACTTCATTTGTTTTAATCAGTCAAAGATTAGCTCCTCTGATTACAAATTCACTGAAGATATAAACTCTTCAAATTTCCTTAAGTAGTAACACTATGACATAATTTCTACAGGAAGCTATAATTTTTCATCACCTCTCTTCCAAGAGTAACACATGTGCTATGTGATACAGCTTGTTACGGTACATGTGTGACAAAGTGTACATGATTTTCTTTGGTAAAAGAGAAGTCCTTATTTATTTATGGATCGTACTTTTTGCAAGTTAAACTGATTTTAATTTAACACTGCAAAACACTTCAAAAATCACATCTGGTAACTGTTCGTACATTTTGCAAAATGTCATATTCCATGTGGTCATGCAGTTTTAAAAATGATCATTCGGCTCTGACATATTATTTGAAACAAAGGAGTTTTACTATATGCAATAGCCACATTGTATGTCAGAGAACTGGAGAAAGAGGAGTTCTATAGACAGTATAGGCATTATTCATGTTTCCATAAAAAGCTGCTTAAAAAACAAAGTACAAATGGATATGTTTTGCTACCTCTGATAACAGATGGCTAGAAGGAGAATAGCAGAGAAAAAATGTTTTCAAAATAAAACTTTTCTCAAAGGTTCACTTTATTCAGAGCTAAGACATCTTTGAGGTACAGTACCTTGCATCTTTCATACACATTGTTTTTGGCAGAAGATCCTTGTCCACAAACTCAGTGTTAGGGTAACACCAAACAGTGAAATGATTATCTTGAATCCCACACAGAATATTTGCAGTGTCATTCCAAGCCATAGAATGTACCATGGTGCCTAGTTGATAATAAAAAGTAAATAGAAAAAAGAACATATGCTTAACTTCCCAAGTTTTTCCAAGCATCACTTATTTTTGTATTTGTATATATAATTTTATATATATTTAAATTTAGGGAAGCTATGTTTAACACAATTCCTGTAAAGTCTAGAGTGTATTGGTTTTTGTTTCAATGTGAGCAGTCAATTTAACAACCTAATTATTTTCTTACATATATACACTATAGAGATCTTATTTAAGGTATTTTACAGTTAATAAAATAAAACATAAAAAATACTTCAGTAGTGGTATAGTATAGTTAATTTAAAGTTAAAATGATTAGAACACCTCAGGGAGAGTTTAGACATATTGCAATCATATCAATCAATCAAACAGATGAATTAACTGAGAGTTCAGAAGACACTAGGTCCACCAGAAACTGACCCCCCAGTTTAGACTGTTGTTATACAAGTTTATTCTGCAGCTATGTCTTGATTCCAGGTAGGTTCCAGTGCAGTGTAATTCAAATCTTCTAAACTCATTTATGTTCAACAACTGTCATCTGCTGTAGTTTTTACATTTTTCCATTAAAATGATGAATACACGTTAAATTACAAATGTACTAAGATTAAATTTCATCTTACCAATTTTATTAATCGGTGGCTCCCTTCCAAATCTTCTGACACAGGTCAGATACAAGTCTCGATTCTTATCAATTAGAGCAATCTTTCTCTCGTTTGGTATTCCACACTGGTCCAAAGCAACTTCCATTACCTCCATCTGCAGTCATAAAAGAAACTACTGCTACTTTCCTACTAAATAACCAAATTTGAAAATTGAAACCTTTAATAAAGCAATTTATCTAAAAACCCTGCATATGGTACTTCTTTCTATTCCTTTTAAAAGCAGCTTATTTTTTGAGTTAATGATATCAAAGCAAGAATATGCTTCACATGTCATTTTATGTACAGTAATGACTGACACTATCTTGAAATATATTTAACCTCCAATTTATGTTTTTTAATTATTATGTTTTTGTCCCCCACTATCTTTAGTCAATTAAGAGAACAGTTACACAATTGCTTAACTGAAGAAAATATTCAGTAACAAAATGTTCAATATATTGCAGTCCAGTTAGGATTTTTGCTAACTGCACATTCTCCTGAAGATGCACATAAAGAGTTAAATGATATGTGTGTTTTTTGCTTGGCATATGATATATTCATCCCCATAATGACTCTCATTACTTACTTTTATACTATGATTTAAGCTACTCTCAGTCAGTAAACACTTCTGCTTACGAAACAGCTACTGCCTATTTCCCTTGGTAATACAAGTTGACACTCAGCTGAAGAAATGTGTCTGCAGTAGGCAGGCAGTGGTGTTCAATATTTCTCTTTGTCTGATTTGCCAGCTTAAGAGCCTGTTAATGTCAGAGTTTCATTCCTTAACTACACAAGCCGAGACAGCAGGCAGGCTGCAAACAAAGTATGGAGTCAGGTTACAGAAAGGCATAAGTGCAGCAGAACAGCTTTGGGTTTATTTACACAAAACCCCATGAAACAAAAATAGTACACACATTTTAGGTTTAGACTATTAGCTATGCTGACTTAAAGTAATAGAAGGACTGATTCTAAAGTCACTATAAGGTTCATATTAAAGAAAGGCATCATTATCATATTATGTGTAGATTAACTGCTGACAGTTTTAAAACACGCATTAACATTAGTCTAAAAGTTTCAAGAAGACTTGACAGATGAGATTAACAGATAATTTCACAGCTATTACATGAGCCCCTTTTAAATTCCCCAGTGAGAAAGTCAAACTTTGCTACAATTTCATTCTTTCTTCTAAATTGTCAATAAGCTGGGAAAATGTGAGTGAAATGATGCCATGAATTATACAACTAACAACTAAAGGGATCCTGTAAAAAAATGCTGGAAATATATAAATTATACTTTCTATGTCACAAGTCAAGAGACAAGTCTATAACATTAAGGAATTATGTTTTTTGTAACAATTTCTTACATTTTGGTTTTAGAATGCCTACTGTATATACAATAACAAGAAAAATAGTCACACATACAGTAGATGCTATTATAGATACCTACGTAGTAATATATGGTAAAATACTTCTGTGAACAGGTGAACACTGTACCCTTTAGATTTAAAAGCAGGGCTGAAAACATACACATTAACATTTATATATACTGCAAAGGAACCAGTAATAGGTTCATTCCATGCTGAAAAGAGAAGAAAGAAAACACATCGTTTTGGCTGTGGAGCCTTCTTCTCCACAGCCGAAACGTTGTGTTTTCTCTCTTCTCTTTTCAGCATGGAATGAACCTATCAGTTATTCCTTTGCAGCTGTACGCATACTGACGCAGTTACCCACCTGAACTACTACATTCATATATACTGTATATGTTTCCTTTTAAAAGGACACGGTGACTTTAAAATCAGAAATATAAAGCTTGGATTAGTAGCCAAGGTTGGCCATGTAGTAACTTAAGTTCAGCAGTTCAGTTCAATTTAACACAACAGTAGAAATGACACTGCAAGAACATAATCTTAAATTTGTTTGAAAATCATTTTTAAGCTGTATCTAATTTTACATTCCTAAATAAATAAGAAACAGAAGTAAAGACTTAAGGTCTGTTTTTCATTAAATTCTGATTTAAAAAAGGGTTTTTGGTGGCATCTTTGACTGCATTCAATCTGTACTTCATTGTACAGCATTTTATTACCATTTTTTGCATCTCCTTTACCATCACATAACAATTCAACAATAAAAATCATATTACTTTGACTAAATAACAGGATAATGCTTTTGATTCATTAACCATTTCTTTTTTTTTTTCCAATAAACTGCAATGCAATGCAATACAACACTTACACAAAACAAGGAAACCAATGTTCAGTGTGATGACATAATCACCTTCTCAATTAAATATGTTAGCCTGAGAAGAAGTGGACTTGCACTAATATGAAATGCACAATGGAAAACGAGGAAAATGCTGTCTGCCTGTGTTACTGCACGGTTTTTAGAGAACATGCATAGAAAAATAAATTATAAATAAATTGTCCAAACGAAACTTTTTGAAAACATTTTTTTTTGTTAAATTCTAGCCAAAATTCTGTCATGACACCCCTAAGCCTATTTGAGGGCAAGGATAAATTAATATCACGTAGGTGGATGTGAGACGTGAACAGAGCCAGCTGGCTTTGCACAACGCTGGAGCTGTGGAGTGCTGACATAGGATAAGACGCTGACAAACAGTAACACAGATCCTGGCTCCGCTGGCTACTCCTTTCTTGAAATCCCATTCCGGGGCAAAATGATAAGTTAACTACGCCATTAAAAAGTAAAGCACTTTTCACAAACTCAGCAGTTATTAAACACTGCAGGCATGAACCACCTTATTGACCAAAAGAAGCTAAGCCACATCCCATTCCTGTGCTCCTGAAGCATCATACCTTGTGCACCAGGGGCTTGCCGTCTCCAAGAGGCTTTCCAGACAGAGCATCAATCAGAAAGATAACTAGTCACATAAAGAAAACGGTTATTATTTAAAAACAGACTTACTGTAATGTTTACTGTCTGGTAAAAAGGCATTGTTTAAAACATTATTTCCAAAAAACATAAAAAAATACATGAAATAATGAAAAACAGAGGGCCTAATAACGAAAAACAGTCACCTAAGTAATGTCCAGTAAAGAAAAAAGATAAAATGAGGTTTTCTTAGAGTAGGTATTAAAGTTATGATTTTTCATTTGGGCAAATTGCCAGGCCAATTTTTTAAGCAAGTAGTGGGCAGCTTTCCTTGAGAGAAAGTTTATATTTTACCTTTCTCATCAGCTTTATCTCTTATTGCGATGGTGTCATTACTAAGAGAGACAGTCTGCGCATTCAGGATGTCAGTCCTCATTCCAGGGAACTTCGGAGCAGAAATCAGACGTCCTTCATATGAAAACAAATAGATACCTGCTCCATCCACAAGTAGAAAGTGTCTGGAAATTAAAAGTAGATGATTTTAAAGTTCCAGAGTAATGCATTTTATTACTTAAAACCATTGTTCAGTTGAATAGACAAGATTTCTATACCAACCATGCCCCGTTTTTCACTGGTAATCACATTTTAACGGAAAAATTAGATGCAATGCAGGAAATGTACAGTAAATTGATAAAGAAGACTACTGTACATATACGTTTTGAAACAAAATTGAGACATTCTTTTAAAATAATCTTATTATGCCAAAGAGTGATATGATGCCATGGCTTGTAACTTTAAGTTGATTACCTACCTGTAACACAGTAAAATTGTTAAAGGTTGTTACACATTGTTAAAGATGACCAACAACTATCACTTTTCCACATGCAATCAGACTTCAATATAAATATCAGCTCTATTACTGGCTGAGTCACAAACTTCTATGTTGTCAGTGCTCAAGGTTTCATTAAAAGTGTCACTCTGGATTCATGTATAAGTATATAGAAGCTAGCACAAAATGCTGTTTTACCTCTCTGCTTGCAGGATCAGGCTAACAGTTCCTTCTTTAAGATCAAAAATCAACGGTGTGTTCCAATTCTTTGCACTGCAGTAGAGAGTTTTGTAATGTTGCAAATTACATCACTGGATTCAAAAGAAGCGATCACAATAAAATGGAGAACTCTTGCAAAACAACAAATAAATCATTTTTACAAATCACAAAGCTTCACTAATGCTGGTCTCTGAAGTGGTATTTTAAAAACTTAAAAAGCAATACATGTAAGCTTTTAATATTAATGCACTTTATTGCTTTATTGGATGTTGGCCTATGAAGTGATACTGAACATGCTTCCCATATGATCTAAAAGTGATGATTGTTTTAATACTTGACCTGTACACGTAGCATTGTAGAGACGTTGTGACTACTAGATGCCCAAACGACAGGGAAGCCTTTATCACTCTGTCCCGGAACTCTAAAACATCCACTGCGTCATTCTGTACATTCCTCACCTGAACAGGAACAATTCTGTTACATGTGCATTTATAAAATTAGTTTACAGAACCTACTTTTTCAAATGTATTTTTTTAACATGGGTTAACTTGGGTTGTGATTCCCTTTTGGTCATGTAATTGGATTTTTAGATCCTAACTTTTTTTTGAAGAAAGACAATACCAGTAACACTAAACAGTACAGGGAGAGCTTGAGAACTATAGCAGTACCGCTCTGGCTGTAGAGCATCATGTATTATTAATTTGCCCAACAGTGCTGTTTAATGTTATTTTCACTCTTACCAAATTGAAATGAGCTTTTTAACTCATAACTACAGTAAAAGAAAAATTAACTCTTGAAAAGCTCTCTACTTTATCTACTCAAAATAAATTAACTGGTATGTAAAAGGATATACTGCATAGTGTTATATCTTAACAACAGAAATGAGAAAATGATGCACACTTTGTATTGTTTGCATGCTTTATAGATGCCAAATTTTATGGCTGTTTAAGCTCGTTGTAGCTTGGTTACTTAAGGTTTTAAAATCAGTTTCCAGGTGTTGTGCAATGTTTGGCTTATTTAAGAAGCAGAAAATTATGCATTTTGAGGGCAGTTTGGTGCCTCTTTCCTTTTCTTTAAGGTTCAATTTGTCAAGTCACTGAACTCTTTTACTGCCAAATGTATTTACATTATAATCAAATCCTGTCCTGAAGACTGGGTAATAAAGTGTTTAACTTTAATAATTAGCAGAAATCTATGCAGCTGACCATATATATATACTGTATATATATTCTATAAACCACATTAATGCTTTTATGTTAGTAGATTTTAGTTTATTTTTAATTAAACATGGAATGCAAATTCGTACTTATTTAATATATTTACACATTTAAATATATTATGACAACTATGAGTCAACTATAGGTGTAAATATATACTGATATAAAGTTTTATATTTAGTTATTTCTTATTATTTAATTAGCTACCATTTTGCAGGTAAAGGTGTATTTTAAGGTTGTGAAGCCTCTGCAAGATTAAACTGTGTGTAAAACAAGAATAAAACCTGCAACCACAAAGCAATAAATTTAGCTGCCCAAATCACAAACCATTGACAGATGTGCAGAAGAAATCTAGCTCAGCTAAAAATAAATGAGTTAAGACACTGGTTTGTTTAGTTTGTGCAAACAGTATTCTGTAAAATGTCTCAGCTGACCTTGTACTCAAGCTTACACCATGTAAACTGTACCTTGTGGTTTTTCTAATTTAAACATGTAGTGTGGCTGAAGCCTGCAGACAAGTAGGCTATTGTCATGTAGGTACAGTAGGAGTCTTATAACATAATGTATAGCTAGAAGTGCTGATGTCTTGGGAATTTTCTACCTTTAAATAGACCATTACTAAACAGCTACTACATTTAACTCAAGGTAACTCGCTTCCATTGAGTGTTAAATATATATATTAAGACTTGCATTTTGCTTTTTAAGGTGCAGTTTTCAGATATTAATATGTAAATTCCATCACTCTTCACAATTATTTTAAAGAAACTAAATAAAAATAATCTACAGTTCTTGAATGACTGACAATGTATCAACAGTAACTCACAGACCAAGTAAACCAAAGACCGGTACAATATAAAGACCTCCTTTAAGAGTAAAACAGAATCTAAAATACAAAATACTGTATGGGCACTAGGCAATTTTCTAAAAATCTGAATGCTTTGGCCTTGTTATGTACAATTCTTTCAAAAATTACAAAAAATGTAAAGTGAGGAGTCCTATTAAAATGCCAAGCCTCATAAAAGACAAATCTCTCCTGAAATAAAGAGTAATGGTACAGAGTCCAGTTTGAGAATCTGAATAGCAAGGAATCTGGCAAAACAAGCCAGTGGGACAAGAACCTACTGAGAAAAGGACATGTACATTAAAAGTACTTAGCAAATAGCAAATTTGGTTTGAACTCTGTACTTTAATTTTTTTGTCTTTTTCTTCTGTAACTTGAGGGTGACCGAAACATACCAATCCTGTTGTGCATCATACTCTTATTAAATGTTTAGGGTTTAAAGAGCTACTTTAGTAACATATAATATCCTTTAATTATCAGAATACTATGTTATATTTATTAATGTTAATTAGTATTCATGTAGCAATTGCAAAGGCAGATCATAATTTTACAGCATATATTTCTATGCATTAATAACATTTGATATAGTACAGAAGCTGCACAGTATATGAAGTTATACATGTCTATATTTAATAAAACACATAAGAATTTCAACACTTTCCTAGTATTAGAATGGATGTCATATTGTTTACAATTACATTACTAAAGAATGTCATCTAAAATAATGAATGCAAAAATGAAGAGGCAATATCTTTGAAAAAAAAAACAAGAAAACAAACTTCTGACATAATGCTGACCTGCATTGAGCTTTTACACGTGACATAAATATTATAATACCGTAAAGCTCTTAAAGATTTGTACCTGCATAGTTCTTCTTTTTGTGAGTATTATCTCAAAGTTTTTCCATGACCATCTCTGCTCAATAACATGAGCAAAAATCACGTGCCCATTCCCACAGGCACCAGCAACCTGAGTCCCATCCACTGACCAGGCAATATTGAAAATGCTTCCAGTGTTTGGCTTTTCCAATGCGTATGACCACTAAAAAAAGGACAAGGAAAAAATATAGTTTGGTTCACTTTTCCAAATATTTACATTGTTAATAAAAAATAATAAGCTGTGATATTTCATGCAGAGTTCAGCAGACTGGGCATCAGATCTTTGCCAACTAACATTTGATGCAATTGATTTGCCAGAATGCTATCGTGACTGATTGTAGAGAGCTTGCCAAACCTGAATTTAGTAGCTTAAGATTTGTTCTGTTACACTATTGTATTCCAGTTTAAGAGAATCATATGGATTTTTCAAAATAGAAGACAGAGCCAGATGTTTATTACCAGGCTTTTAGAGATTTGTAGGCACCAGAAAAACAAGTAATGGCAACATGTCCTTTTAATATTAACTGAAGCAGTTGAATCAAAAAGCAAAGTTTCTGTTGTTATCCTTAAAGTTCCTAAACACTTTTTTATTATATAACACTTAAAGTCCTTCTCGACAAAACTACTGACAAAACCCCACCCCTTTTGAGCCACAACCACAATGGCTATTTGTTGTTTATAAAGTTTTACCTTTCTTAGTCTTGGAGTTAAAAATGTTTTTTCTGTGAGATATTTGTGTAATTATATGCTGCTGCTGAGAAGGACTGTACTTAAGATTGAGAATGAATCTTATTTAATGTACATATGACAAAAATACAATTCACAATTAAAAATAATCTTTTTAATCCCATAGGGTAAAGGGAGATTAAGGATTAGTCACAAAAGCGAATCTAAAGTGGGCCCTACCCCCTGCTGCAAAATCTCCTCAGCAGACTGATTCACTATATTCACCATGTCTAATTAAGCCAGCAACTTCAACCAGAAAAATTACCTAATTCACTGACAGTAATATTGCCTTGCACCCTTGCACAAAGGGCTATTGTATTTTTACAGCGTGTCCTAGCAATCAATAGTCATCTTTGACCCCTATAATGGGCAAACTCAATGCTTCCAAACTGAGAGGCGGGATAACTGGGGGAACAAATGGAGCTCCTTAAGGCTGGTATGCAATACGCTCTGAGGGAACGAAACAATCACTTTCTGTTGTCTGCATTACAGCATTCCACCACGTGTTCTCTCACCACAAATACAACTGACATCTATCTGATGACCCCTGACCCGTGGAATCAGCGCTTTTATAAGTGCAGGTGGCGAGCAGTTAGTAAGCTGTCTAAAAGATTGCCAGTTTAACTATATTGCTGCCCCAGAAGGAATTTTACAATATGCACAAAAGCAAATCAAAATAATACAAAGAATTTAAAAAAAAATCCTCACAAAAATCCATGTTGCTCTCACTTTCCACAACATTTGTGGGTGTATCTAAATCAGAATTCATTTCACACACACAAAATCTGCTGAAATCAAAGTCGTTGTCTGAGTCTTGTTTTCCTTCCAGGTTGTCTGGCAAGCAAATGATTACATAATTACTGCCTAATTAAATAGCAAAGAGTTAAGACATTTCATAGTATTAACATTTCAAAATTTACATATATCATTTATATGCAAATTGAACTATTATTACTTCTTCATGGGCTCGTTTCCTTCAGATTCCACTTTCAAAAAAAGTTTATATTCTTCATGTACCCTAGTTTTCAAAATTAATACTTACCAGAATTTATTTCCTCATTACAGTACTATAACTAATAATGTGATGTCCACTTACTGAAAAAAAGTTTCTTGCAGATTTATAACCATTTTTCTTTTACTTTTTTCCACACTTCCAAAAAAATCAGCAATAGAAATAACTTTTTTGCACTCATTGAAAAGATAAACAGTCAAGCCTGTATAACCCCGACCTAAACCTTTGATGTGTACTTTAATACACCTTTTTCAAAACATTGCACAACTATACTTGGATGAGTTCCACTGTTTTAAAACGTACACATTTGAAATAATAATACTTTGTCTATTCTTCTGAAAACATTCAACCCAAGTCTATTTTAAACCTCTCAAGAGACTTGAATGTCTCAGAATAAGCTATCTGCCTAAACGTAAATGTATACACCAGATTCTAATGAACCTCGACACATGATCCTAGGCTAAGAAACAGTTTTGGAATAGTGCTTACCTAATGTTTTTAACATATTTAGCTATCTGATTCCTTTTGCAGTATATGCAGGAACCTGAAAATCCCAGGCCTTTCTACACACTTGTCAGAAATGTCAGAAAATAAAAACCATGGAATATTTTGAGGATATCTTATGGCTTGTAGCAGGCTACATTGTTTATCCCATGAGAAACAAAGACCACAAAACTGAATACTCTCAAGGCACGAGTTATGAAAAGTCTTCTTCATGAGTCAGATTAGTGTAGTATCTCCAAAGTGACCTCTAGGTTTGTCTTTTATTCATATCCCATAAATAAAATTTAAATGGCTTGTTCAGACTACTGTTGTATGTTAAATTATGAAAAAAGCTTAAAGGCAATCATCAGATGTAGGCCAACTTTTAAAGAAAAAAAATGACAAGTGGATAATTCTATCATTTTCACTATAAGGATTCTAAAATTATCATTATATGGATGTGCACAAATATCAATACACAGGCACTAAGAATATTTACCAAAAGAATATTTGCACATGTTATTAAGTGGCCAATGAAAAACATTGCTTTTACACAGTAACTCCAAGAACTGACTAATGACGAGGCTGATAAAATAATATAAGAAGAGACAAAGAGATTACATATATTATAAAAACAGATGAACTTATCCACATAATCAATACAACTTTAAGAATTTCCCTCGTGTCACAGGAATGCAGAGCAAAAACTACACTGTTAGGAAGGTTTAATACAATAAAATGAGGGGTTATGATTAAGGAAACTGAGAAGGGCAGGGTGGTGAGGCCGTTAATACTGCTGCCTCACAGCTTTTGGTTTCTGAACTCAGTTCTAAAATGGGAAGTCTTCTGTGTGGAGTTAACATGCTCCCCCCATGCTTATGCAAGTATTTTTTATCTGCTCAGATTTCTTCCCATCTTCCAAAGACAGGCAGGCTCACTGGTGCCTCTGTGCGTGTGAGTACACTGTCCCTGTGTCTGCTGGACTAGGTGCTGGCTCACCACAACTCTCCATAGGATGAAGTGACTCTACATAATATGATGATGTAAACTCACACTGAACATTTTGCATTTCTTGGCTACTTTACAAAACACTGTATAATTTGCAGTACACCCCCACCTTTTTTAATTGAACAAATCAGAAGTGAATATATACACTACACTGTTACTGGCAGCAAAACAAAACCGTTTGCGCTATAAGGTAAAATAGTTATGACTTTTACATTTAACAATAACCTTGTCAGCAAAAAAAGTAAACACAAAGTATATTTGGGGGAATCTTTAAACAGATTTACTGATGACAGTTTTATAGGAAACAAAAGGAATGATCTTGGATTTTATCCAACTGCTTTGTATTTTCATTTAATAGCATATGGGAAGATTTAAATCAAAGTGGAGAATACCATTTTACCTGCCACCTTAAGTTAATATGGGCTAATTTCTAACTAACATTACGATAGCCTGAAGAAATAAACCATTTGCAATATTTATACATGTTGATTGTGGAATTTTACAATCACATTGTAGAGTCCTCTGCCAGGGTGACAGAGAGGAACTTAAAATTATAACCGTCAAGCTGTTCAAGAACTTTGGCCATTTACTTCTAAGTAATGCATAGATGTTTAAATAAAAAATGGTGCTATATAAGTTTCTGAATTCCATATTAAAATATTTGTGTGGACAAAAATCTAAATAAGTAAAATGGGATTCTGTCTATCCCAATATTAAATAATAGTAGTCCTAATAGCATATATAATAGTATTTGAACATTAACTTTAATATTTCTGTTATATTTAATAGTTTTTATTTAATTTAATATTTCATATTATCTTATACTAAAAAGATCTTCTCAGAAAATACATTTTTGGTTGTAGTTCAGGGAAAGGTCTTATGTACAGCAACAGAAAACTGGTGCAGTACCCAAACGTCCCACTAAGAAAGTAAAATCTATTACAAAGAAACCTTCTGTACATAATAGCGTTTAATGCATCAAGGAACTTGTACCTAAGTGTTAATATTGCACCCTAACATTTTAGTTTCCATTTTTTAGAAAATGGAAATTTAATTTAATTTACCTCTTTTGGATTAGAAACATACCATGTCATTTATCCTTTCATCTCAAATAAATGCATTTAAACAGTAATAACGTAAATCAATTCATTTTTAAACTATTTAACAAAGTCATTAAATTTAACAAGTAATTGTTAATATTTCTCTTATTCTGGAATCTGCTACTGTCAGTATCAAATTTAAATAAAGTAAAAACAACAAAAGAAAATGCTGTTTGATTTATACATGTATCACAAGAAAATAAGAAATACCTGTAATATCACCAATCTTATGTTTGTCAAAGAAAACAATAATGCAAATAATAGCTAGTATGGAATTTTAGTCACAGAAATATGTAGCTGAACAATGTGATTACAAAATGTACCTTTCTTTTGATATGGTTAATGCTCATTTTAAAAGCATGTGATTGACACTGCACTTATAGGCTTAGTACTGACAGTATTTTCATAGCTCTTATATCTCATATGTAGCACAGACTGTACACGCACATGACTTGTTCTGAAAATGAAGAGAACATGTTCTGGAAACGTAAACATTTAAACTATAGAGAACAACTTGATGTACACTAAAATTTAATTATAAATAATAAGGAATAAATAACATAGGACTCAATATTTTAAATGAGTATAGTTTGTGGTCATAGATTTTAAGGTTTTATGATCTGGAACAGTTATTGCCTTCAGCTCAAAGTATACTAGTGATGTAATATAAAGGTCTTATTTTGGTTACAACTCTTACATATAGCACTCGTTGATATAACCAGGCATAACACAAAACTGCAGGGCACAGTTAAAATATCCCTCATACCGTCAGCTTTAGCTAGCTTTCTATGAACTATCATACCTTCTCAATTTCTGCACAATGGTTTGCTACTT